AATTCTGTCAAAATTATAATAAACTATTAGTAAATAACCCGTTGAAATTCTGACGAATTTTGAAACCTGTCGTAACCGAAATTATATCAAAATTCTAATTAATAATTAGTGTGTAACCCGTCGAAATTATGACAATATTTTTCTGAAAGGATTTAGGCAAGCATCCTTACTCTCATTACCACCCTGCGAAGTTAGTTATCGTTAATTAGAAACTTAATAAAAAGAAAAGATATTATTTTGAAGATTAATCAATTAAAAGAAGATTACTTAATAATAAACTATTCAAATTAAAAAGAAGATTTTTGAGCTCATTCTAGCTGCTCAACAAAATGAATACTTCGTTACCTACCTCTAGATAATTGATTATAAAAACCTTTAATAAATTAGTCTCTCCCAACTTTAAATACTTAAAACACATAAAAATCTTTAATAACTCTTCCACCTGATTGAAACACGTGAAGAACACATGATCTATATTCAAAGAATTATAAAACCAACTGAAATGATAACAATATCTCAATATCTAGTGATTAAATTTGAGTAAACTAATTATATATATATTTTTTATCTGAAGTTCTATTATAAACTTAATTTTATCAAAATGTATTGAAAAGCAATTAGTGCTCCAACTGGATCAGGTTCAATTTGTGATCTAACCTGAAATATATATTTTGGATTAGATTGAATTATGTAATCAAATTTGATCTAAAATATTTTGAATCAATCTAAAAATTGTTATTTTTTATTCAATATTAATTGGAATTAAATGAAAATTTGTGAATATATATACAATTATATTTTGAATAACTTTATTTAAACATCAAATACAAGTGTCTTAGTAAAAGTAAAAGTTATTAACTAAAAACTATTTTACAATTTTTGAATCAAATTTGATCTAAATCTGATCTAACCTGAAATTATTAGTTTGAATTAATCTTAAATCTAATTCAACCTAATCTGAATAGAGTTTTAAAAGCAATAAAATACTATACAAAAATCTATTATAATTATACATGAATCAGATTGCAAGAAATTATTTTACAAGCATTTGATTTAGTAAATATTATTACAATTAGAAGATTCACTTAAAAATTATGATGTTATATGAAATTGTATCATGAAAATTTGACAGGAAAACTAACAAAATATATGTGCAAGAAATTCAAATCATATAAATAAATTTCTAAAAATGAATTAATTTTATTTATAAAAAAATAATGATCTTATTAAGTAATATTAAAAATTTATTGAATTCACAATTTTACAATCTATTTACTTCTATATTTTAATTTTTTTATTTGTTAGATTTAAAAGCTGCAATAATAAAATCTTGCTCTTTAGAAATTTTCTTTTCTCGCAAAAATTCTAATACTAAACAAATATCTCATCATTATTATTATCAATATTTCATAGCAAGAAGAGAGATAAAAATGTAAGAGACTAATTGATTCTGTCAGTCAATCTGATTAATTGAATTTTAAATCACATAATATGTGATTGTTTTTAATTTGACAAGTGAATAGAAATCAATTTTTTGATTCATTTAAATCCCTGTTTGATTTTGATGACAAAAATGAAACAAAGTTACATGATTGATATCTTTAAATGTCCTGCTATTATGATTGGAAATTTTCATAATTTACATAACTTCTATAACTTTCATAATTTTGATAATTATTATAATTATAGTAATTACTATCATTTACAATAATTATCATAATTACCACAATTTACATAGTATTTATTATTTATCAACTTATATAATTAATTATAAATATAGCATTTATTAGTGAAAAATATTTATTATAAATAAAGTATAATTGAAGCTTTGAAAAAGACATCAATTGATCAATACAAAAATCTAGTTAGTCAATAAACTATTCCTTGTTTATTGTTAATAAAATTTGTATATTTAATTGATTGAATAATAACTTATTAAAATACTTGCATTTATTGCGTATTATTGAACAATCACCAAAGTTGCTATAGAATATCAGTACTGTATTGTTATAGGACTATCTCACACTAAGTAGACATAATATCTATTAGTAATAGTGAGAGTCTATTTACAAGATAGAAGAAAATGCACTGCATGGCGATTTCAGAGTATACTTATTACAATGAGATTGAGTAACTGTAAAATTCCCATCATCAGACGTTGGTTGAACACCTATGTCACAATAATATCTACCAGGAGCCTGATCATAACACTGCACTGTAATATTTTTTATAATGTTTTTTCATAAAGAAAAATAAGTAAAGAAAAAATTAAATTAATATGAAAAAAAAGCTTGAATTATAAGGAATTTGTTTTGTGTATTATTGAAGAAATAAACTTTTTTTCTTAAGAATTATTGGGTATTTTCACACTTTTAATTTGTTTCTTTTCTTTGATTAGAGAATTAATATAGAAGAAATGTGAAAAAAAGATTTATTATTATTATTATTAGATTATATCAAAGAAATTTCTTGATTTTTATAATCCAGCTGGATCTATGAAACATGATTCCAGATTTCAAATTTTTAGACACAATGTATAATGGATCAATACACATGAAATTTAAATATAGTCAAATCCCTCTATAATTATCACTCTTGGAAAGCAAAAATTTGGTGACTATAAAAAGAATATGACTATAGAGAGATTTCTTTACTATGTTTATATGTAAATGGAAAGCAAAATAGGATGACTATAGAGGGGTGTGATTATAAATGGGTGTTATTATAGAGGGATTTGACTATATCAAACAAGTATAAAACTCGATTTTTGATGAAATTTGTTTTTTAGTCTGGTAACTTCGGGACGTGATATCTCGCGATCTGGTTATAGATCGCGAGATATCACGTTCCGAATAAAAAAACAATTTTCGATTTTTTATATTATAAATAAAAATTTTTGATTTTAAAAAGTTGTGTATATATGTTGTGCTCAGATCACGCTCAGCCAAAATTAAGATAGGGTACTACTGGAGTTAGGGTTAGAGTTAGGGTTAATTCTGGGAGATAGGTTAATGTTGGCCGAAAATGTGTGTAATTATATATATATATTGAAATCAAACCTTTTGAGATCAGTCGATTTCCATCCGTTTCCTATGAAACAACCACCATTCGATTTGTCTCAACAGGGCGAATCGAACGGTGTAAAAGTCTTTCAAGTAAAACCACTGGATGTTGAGAAATTACCGTCTGAAAGTCGTGGTTTAATTTCGTTCTCTGAATTAATTTGGGGAACGAAACGTGTTCTAATTATAACAGTAAGATACTGATAGCACATGATTTTGTTAATTAGTTTGATTGGTTATAATTTTGATAGCAATATTTATAATTTTTGTAAATCATCACTTAAAATATAACTATAGTTTGAATAAATATGAAAACTTAAAAATTCGTGTATAATAAAAATCATGAAATAATATATGATTATTTTTAGTGCTTTTAGTATTATGTATAATTTAAAACTCGATAGTCCGTCCATTAAAAAGTCCTAAAATCCGGGTTAGTTAAGGAATCCGGTTTATCGAGTGAAATTTATGATATATATAGCTCGTTTTACACCCAATCCGTTTATATATAGAGACCGGTTTACACCCCAATCCGGTTTATCGAGTGAAATTTATGATATATAGCCTGTTTTACACCCCAATCGGTTTATCGTGATTTTAATATCTCCAGCTTATCGAAGTTCATTGTGTAGTTACTGTATGCGTGTTCTTAATCATGCGAGGTCAAAGATTGAATTAACAATTCCAAAGAAGAAGATACCAACAAACGTCCAAATGGTACAATATCGATTCTCAGGATCATAACTATGTGCCAGCGGTAACATACTATGCAAAATAGTGAACAATAAAATACCAGTCACGATCGAGAACAAGAATCCTGTGACTGCTTCGTTCCAGTATGTGACGAAAAGAACGTATCCGAATACTGCACCAAGCATTTGTGAAAATACACCAACAGTTGCGGAAATCGCGAATGCTTTCCATCGGGATCCGGTTGCATAGTAGATTGGTAGTGCGATGATTAAACCTTCGGGGAATTTACTGGATAATAAAATTTAGAAAATCTTGTTAATATTATGCTGTTACTAGAATGATGTTCATTGATGTCTACTTACTGTAATGCAAGTGCAATGGCAAATACGACGCCAATCCGAGCAGATGCTATTGTTGTAGCAAATGTTGCTAATCCTTCGGGGAAATTACTGTAATAAATAATAATATTAATTCTTATCTGATGATAATAATGGATGCATTGAATAAAAAAACTCACTGAATAGCCAAAGCAACAGCAATCTGAATTCCAAGAGACTTTAATCTCTTTGCCTCCAAAGCTTTATCTTCATGACCATTATGAATAATGCAACTAGCTTTATTACTTTGATCAACAACAACAACGTGATTTTGGTGGTCAATTTTCTCGTTATTGTCACCGCTAATGTTATATACACTTTCTTTAGTGTCGACTAAATTAGTATCACAAGAGCAACTATACTGTTGATGATGATGTTTGATCCCAAATCTTTTCCTTATAAAGTATTTAGCAGTGATCAAAAGAGTGGTAGTAAAAATAAATACAGCCGTAGCAATCATTCGACTCCATTTCATTGGAAACAATTTTGAGTGACCTAAGGAGCTAACTCCTTCCGGAAATAAATCACCTAATGCCAAGTTTAATAGGATACCGGAAGCCAAAGAAAGTGAGCCGGCCAAGAATCCCTTTGATTGAGTGATGCGAAAATTTTGCAAAAATGGAAGGAACGGAAAGAGGTAATCGAGAAATGGTGCCAATGATCCAATTGCACATGCGGCTGCAGCGATTGCAGTCAATCCGAATCCGAGACCGATGTTTCCCGTGGCTAATGATCCGCTGTGACTTTCCGGCAAATAAACCGAAGGCACGTTATCTGTAGTTCCTGAATCTTCGTCGTCTCCAGCTGCACCGTGTGCATTTATTAATGTCGGTATTTGTAATATACAAAGGAGAAAATAATAAAAAATTGTGACTCGATTTTTGTAGAAAACACAAGATTTATTATTGTTGTTGTCATTATAATTATTTTTATTATTTGGTTTGTTGGGTTTTATTTTCATCTTAGCGAAATTAGAAAATGGAAAAATATCGCCTTATAATGGTAAAGTTATATGTATGTGAGTTTATACGTAAGTAAAAACGAATGTCAAGTTCTAAATAATGAAAAAATCATAAATGAAAAAAAGAAAGTAAGAAGAGACTGAGAGCAAAAATCTCCTACCTTTAAATACCCCAAAAAGTGATCGGGCTGAAAATTTTGCTACATAGGAAAGAATAAATACAGTAATACATAATGAGTACCCCAAAAGTTATTTTGTACGATCTGTTAATGCAATAAGAAAATCTAAGAGTACCCCAAAAGTTATTTTGTACGATCTGTTAATGCAATAAGAAAATCTAAGAGTACCCCAAAAGTTATCCCGCCATTTTTATATCAGGAGAGAAAAAAAAGAATGGAATAAATTCATAATAGATAATAATTTACCGTAGAGCATATCAAACTGATGCTATTCACGGTTTCAGCGATTTCATTGGTGAAGAATGGGGTACTTTACTCGGGATACTACCAGGTGGTATTATGGTATGTGATACGAAAAATAAATGAAATTGATTGGTAAAAAAGTGAGGCATTAACTCTTTCGGAATGACGAATTTAGTTATTAACGACTTAAGAAAAGTTTGATCTACTGCATAATAGGTCATTTTTTACTATAGCGAAAATTGTGTGATTCAAAACTTTTTTAATAGTATTATTCTCGAACATTATTCTCAAAATTATTCTCAGAAGTTATTCTCAAACATTATTCTCAAAAGTTATTCTCAAAAGTTATTCTCAAACATTATTCTCAAACAACATTAATAAATTAGTGAATTAAATAAAAAGTTACTCATCTCTAATTAATTTTCATATCAATCAAGTCAATGTTGTTAATTTTATGTCCAATAGGACCATTGGACATAAATTTAACAACCAACTCGGAAAAAACGCCAAATTAGGCAGAATCCCTTAAATCAACGATATCGATATGTTAACGTTAACCAGTAATTCCAAAGTTTAACCGTAATACGATAAATCACTGTGCATATGCTCTATTCTTTGAGTAATTGTTTACTTAGTTTTATTTGCCCTTTTTACTTTTATTTTTTATTTGCTCTTTTTACATTGTTTCTATCTTTATATTCACTCTTCTTTCTGTTCATAATGTTCTTACCACGAAAAGAATTATCCTCAGAACTTCGAATAATTGGTGCGTATCATATGGAGAGCAATGCTTCAGTTATTGCCTCTACTCTCGCTATTCCAAAGCAAATAGTACGTGATACAATTAATCGGTTTAAGAAACAGGTTCTCCACATCCTGTAAAACGTACTGGACGACCAAAATTTTATCAAAACGCGATCAACGAAGTTGTACCAATCAACTAAATGCATACAATTAATAACTCAATTCACTTTAATACCATTCGTAATTATATGAAATTATTATCATTTGAATTATGAAATTATTATCATTTGAATCTAACTATGCAAGTCATAAACTACTCAACATAAAAAAAAAAGCGTTTACAATGTTACAAAGAAAAGAAAAATTGGAATGATGAATGGCACCGACATACAAGAGTATGGCGAAAAAGTTGTGTGGTTCCAACAGTAAAATTTGGTGGATTGTCGGTCGTAAAAATCGATCAGTATCGGTATAAAGTTTATTAATAAAGTGTCTTTAAAACACTCAAGAGGCTAATAAAACACTAAAAAAAATATCACAATAATGCCACGGGTAACCGTATTTTTGTTGTGTATAAGCAACTTGTGACAAATAAATGTTTACATATAAATATGTGATACATTACATAGTGCTTCATTATCATTGTATCAAACTTGTTTGTAACGATTTTTTTAATTAATGAAGCTAAACAACTTGACTTGTCTATATTTAAAAATTAATATTTTTAATGATCAGAAACCAGTCTAAGAACTAGTTCGGTTCCAAAGTATGTAGTTTTGAAGCAATTGCTCATTCTTGTTTTGGGCAGCATTTTCTTTATATATGTATATTACTAATTAAATTTGTTTGTAGCAATTCTTCAAATAAAGAGAAAAGTAGCCTGATTCATCTGTAGTTAGCAATTTTCAAGCTTGTAAAACTGCTTCCGAACCATTAGATTTGTTATATTGTTACTATTCTTATATGGATAGGCAAGTTATTAACTAATTATAGTAATTAAGAATTATATAAAAACAATAATAGTAACTGTGTGTACTTGAGAGGGTTGGATACTAGATGATTGAAAGAGAGTATTAAAAAGAAATAAATTCTATACTTCTACCAGTTGGGCAAGTATTTTATAATTTAAAAGTACAAATAATTTATTAAATTACAAAATATGACTTTTACTAGTTGGATAAGTCAAAGTTAAATAAATAATAAATCAAAGGTAACAAACAATAAGTAAAGATTATTTAGAAGTATTAGTTAACTTCTATATTTTTATTACTTGATTACTTTCAAGTTACTTTACAACTTATTTGTAAATTACTTTTAAATTACTTCTGAATTACTTGTTAATTACTTCAGAATTATTTTATTTTATTCTATATTAAATTATATCTATTTAAATACATATAAATATAATATAGATCTATATAATGAATGACTAAAAATGACGCAGCAACTGTTGCAACGTGGTGACAAATAAAGCATCATCTAGTTGCAATTAGTTGTAGCTTATAAAATTTTGGAGTTGCAATGTGTTGTAATGGATGACAAATAAGCATCACGTACTTGCAACATCATTTTTATGAGTGAAATTACTTAAAAACAATTATAAGATTAATTTGAAAGAAGTATAATACCAAAAAATACTAAGTATAATACTAATTTAATCTAAGTGATATAATTTAAATTAGAGTGACATTAGCGTTATATTAATTAATGTTAAACAAAATAAAATGAATTTAAATCAAATAATATTATAATAAAATAAATGATGTAATATTAAAAAAAAATAATTGGTGTTTGATAAATTATATATAAATTAAATAATTTAAATAATTAAAAATAAAATTATAAATGGAAAAATAAAAATGAAAATATAAATAATTATATTATATGATATTTTATATGTGATCAAAATATTAAATAGTGACAGTCTTTTTTACTTAAGAGTTTTACTGCAAAAAACTCAAATAATTATAATATGCTCTAATTTGTTCAATTCAATATAGAACTTTAAATTATTACTATTATATGAATTTTTCAAGATTTTTTTATTAAGTGTATATAATTTATAAGTTTCTTTATCAAATTTGTCATGAATATAAAATGATTCTTTTTATTTTTCTCCAAATTTGTCATGATATCAATATTGAGTTTTCATTTATTTTATTAAAACTTTATTATCAATTTCAAATATTTGAATAATTTTATTTTTATCATAATATTCTTTTTGTTTTAATTATGCTTTTTGAATATTTTGTAGAGCTAATTCATGATTTTTTTCTAGTTAATCAATAATTTTATAAGCTCTTTGAACTATTTGTTTTTTTAATATTGTTTTTTGATCATTTAGTAATTTTAATTGAATATCAAGTAATATATTCATTTATCAACTTGTTAGATAAAATAATTCAAACTAAGTAGTACTTTGTCTCATTATTCTATATTGCTACCGTTTCTAGTTCTTACGTATGAGAATATTTAGAAATGGTTAACAGTGACTGTGTTCACGGCAGATTTTAAATAAGAGAGATATAAATGACGAAAGTGGAT